AACAAATGCCTACAAACCCTGTAAATGTGTACAGCTTGTTTCCACTTGCTTCCATGCCCCAAGTTTAAATTTTCTCTTTTGATGGGCCAGTTTCTGTTCGACTGCGCGGCGTATTAATAGCAGGTTTTTCTCTAACGGCAGAGCATGTGTTGTGATACAGTTTAAGGCTTCTGGGTCCCATGGGACGTCTAGCTGATGTTATCAGAGCACATTTCATTTCTCCTATTTATCTTTCTTCACAAACAGTGTGCAGAGGGAGTAGGAAGGCTTGGTGGGGGTTTTATATGTGTATGTAGTTAGTTGCACAGCTGATTCCTTCATCGCATTGAAACTGCACATAAAGTTGTCTTTTTTACAATCTGTCCCCTTTAACTAGCCCCCCTCCCTATTAGATTTACTAACGTTCTCTTTGCACTACCACAAGAGTTAAGCACCAAAATAAATCTCCACTCCGTCAGGAACCCAGCAGACTTCCCTACTGACCACACAAAGTTGTTGTTTTTTTCTCAGAGAGATCATAGGCAATGGAACGCTGACAGGATATGAGGGGAGACAGGGACGTCTAAATTCTCAAAACTTCAGACCTTCAAAGAGATCTGAGGATTTGATATGTTCATGTTTTTGCAAACTTTGACAGTGTCTTACAAATACTGCAAACCCTTTTCAATGTTTTAACTTCACTTATTTTTTCTTTAATTTGGATTTTATGAAAGAGACTAAGATTGTGCATGATGGTGAAGTTAATGTTATCCAAAATGTGCAGCATGATGCTGCCACCATCAAGTTGCATTTATTAATAGGTGGGAAAAAAAACAAAAAATAGGTCTCATGGGTTTTTCTAAGCTTAATTAAGAAGTGATTTGTGAGGATCAAAACTAGAAGTTTTCCTGTTAGTAAATTAGTTTTATCTTCGCAGCGGATCTCAGACCTTTTTTTGGTCTTGTTATGATAGTATCTCCAGTTATATGTTAATTTATTGTGGAAAGACAATACCCCATAGGTATGTCTTTCACTTAGCTGCTTGTCTGTGAGATTATTTTGCACTGATCTGAGTAATGAATATGGGTAAGGAATCAGGGAACATGGCTGATAATTAAAAAATACACCAGATAAATTAAATTCAGTACATTCACATCCCAAGGTTGAAGATAAAATATCAGGAAACTACCTTTTAATACATTAAGAGCCTGATGTTCTGAATGTTAACGCACCTTAAAATAGGTGCAAACAGTAGACACAGAACAGAGCTTCTATAATGGTGCAAAATTAATTTGTGTTTTCACTTCAGCAGACGACATGTGCAAACCCATTTTTGTGCATGAGCCTTCATCAATATTCAGATCATGTTCAAATGACCAAACCAAACAAATTTATGAGTGGAGGAATCACTGATTACAAAGATATTTTCTAAAATGGAAACTCAGCTCAGTGCAGCAGTGGGTAGCACTGCTGCCTTGCAACATGAAGGTTCTGGATTCGATTCCCAGCCTGAGGTCTTTCTAAATGGAGTTTGCATGTGTTCTCTGGGTACTGCGGCTTCCTCCCACAGTCAACAAACATGACTGTTAGTTTAATCGGCTTCTCTAAATTCTCCTTAGCTGCGAGTGTGTGCATGAATGGTTGTTTGTCCTGTTTGTCTCTGTGTTGCCCTGCAATGGACTGGTGACCTGTCCAGGGTGTACTCCGCCTCTCGCCTGTAGGGAGCTGGAGATAGGCACCAGCACCCCTCAGGACCCTGCATGGGATAAGCGTGATGGAAAATGGATGGACGGATGGAAACTCAACTAGCCAGGTTATCGTAGAGAATAACATCCTGACCAGATGACTGAAGCATAGTACATGGAATAGAGCTTTGGTTATGCACTGTTAAACTAACCCAGTGAACAGGTGAATACCTAAATACTCTGGACCAGAATCATTACCACTCGGTGAGACTGGGGTTAGGGTGGGACCCACCAATAGGTGGTTCTGGAACAAAACATATCACAAAGAATGTGCTACTTAATAGACACCAGAATGAAGAGGGGTGCTATGCTTAAGCCCATAGATTTTGAAGACCCTATACGGGTTGTGATTAAAAGTTCCCAGACTTCAGTTCACATGCCTCCATTGTCGTGATGTGTGCTAGACTTGTGTGTCTGTTCGCCTGGCAGAAGAATGCTATTTTACAAAATATTTTTAGCACTAAAGTATTAAAGAAACAGGATGTGAGTTTTGGGTGAAAAATATCTGTATAACAGCCTTTTCATTACCCCCTTTATGACTAAAACAGCGTCTGATGAGCAAGCTGACTCCACAGTGGTTCAGCACCAATGCAACCCCGTAGCTTATTTTCCTGAATTTACTTTGAGTCTGAAGTTCCCGCACTGTTCAACGGATGTGACTTTAGGCCCTTCACTGTTAAAAGGCTCCTACTTAAAACATAATCTAAGGGTTCTATTCAAGATGGATATTCAGACTCAATCGGCAACCAGCTCAAACCAGACACCAATGGTAATTCCATGTAAGTTGAAAAAAGTAAGAGAAACCTTGTTAAGTAATAGCGCAAGCTCCGAGAATGAGCAGAAGATTGCTGCAGCTCTGTTTTGGCAACAGGTGGCAGTATCATTAGGAAACTCTGTAATGCCTCTTTATTAGCCCACTTGAATCAATATAGTATGTACATGAACTAGCCTTAACCCAACCACTTAAAAAGGGATCGTAGTAAGGAAATAGACCCTCAGGAAATGTGTAAAAAAAAGTCTGCTCTAGGAAATCAAGAATTTTTTCAACTGTATGAGGGCCATAAAAATGAAATATCAAGACTGGTATAAAACCTATTCTCCATATCCAGGTCCTCTTGTACACCCAGATAAAACCCTGTGCAACTAAAGATTTGGCAGTTACCTTGTAAATAACCAAAATAAAGTGTTATTCAATCATAGTCGCTGGTCAGGAATGGATTAATCAAAGAAGTAAAAAACTGATCTATGGTAACTCTGGAGGAGCTGCAGGAAAGGCCATGTTAAAGTTTTAGAAAATAGCGATGCCACAGCCAAAAAGTGCTGCTGAAAGCCTTTTTGTATCTTTGTAAAGTTTGACAGAATAAAAGAAAGAATAGTAATTGTGGAAGGGAAAAGAATTGAATATAAATTTAGGAAACTGAATCTAAAAGAAGAATCTGTTTGTGGTTCTTAGGCCAGCTTAAAAACCAGGAAAGGGAGCAATCTAAAACAGAGGCTCTCAAAGTGGGGGTTGTGAGATACTAAGTTTGGCAGGGTGGGGCCACAAGAAAATTTTCAAAGACATTGTGATGTGATTCCTGTAATATATGGAGGGTCAAATTATAGCAATATAAAAATGAATGCAAATGTCCCATAAAAAAAAAATAGATGTACCCTGAAATGTGAAGATGTGCATTTATTGCATATGAAGGCAAACACTAAAAGCAATAATAAACAAAATAATGCAAAATTCAAATGAGCACCGGTCCCATTGAACAATTGAAAAAAAAATGTAAAACTATGAATTAAAGGTTCATAATCATAGTTATTTCAGATTGTTTTATTTATAAACCAGTAGCTCATTCTGTTAACTTACAAAGTTTTTTTGAGAGACCATTATGCCCATTTGGATCAATATGCTAGTAAATAAAGCCCTTTTTTTTTACCTCCGCCAAGAAGGTTTTATTTTTATGAGAATTTCTGTCTGTCTGTCTGTCTGTCTGTCTGTCTGTCTGTCTGTCTATGTTAAAAAGTTATAGACTGATTTTAATGAAAGTTTTATTAGAGATGACCCTAATGCCAAGTACCAATCCATTAAACTTTGGTGATGTTTCAGATCATAATCTGGATACAGGATTTTTTTAAAGCATTCTCTGACGTAGTGAGATAGGGATATTTGGCCGAATAAGCAGTTCCTCACTTAACCAGAGGGTGGCAGCAGTGATAATTGACAGCCTCAGCATCAGACTCAAAATGTCTGGAGGTATTTTAATGAAGATGAAAACACAAGAAAAGGGAACATTGTTGGATTGATAGAAGGACCAAATGCAAACTTATGAACATCCAACCTATGAATATCCATCTTAACCCCCCCCCCCATGCACCTTTTTCTTCCTTTGGCACATTCTTCGTCTTTGACTATTTGAGCTGATGTAAGTAAATATCTGCACTGTGAGGTCAATAAAGTCAACCAATCAACCAATCAATCAAAAGATTTTATGGACTTTTTTTTTTTCAACCATAGTTACATTTCATGCCATTGAAAAATTCATTTGAATTTGGTAATCCTCCATATCATTCGCAAGTGTTAGCTGTAGCTGTAACTCACAATTTGGGACAAAAATTGCTTCTTGTTGAAGGTCTGCGCGCCCAGAATGCTTTTTTAGTTTATATTTACAAAAACAATGGAGGTACGATACATGTGTGCGGGGGGTAAACAAGGAAGCAGCCTACTACAACTGAGCTAGTTGTTTAGTAGTTACCATCTGGCCTTCTGTTAGTTCTCCGCTACTGGAAGCAGATTGTGACATGTCTGTTTATGTTTGCCCATCATGCCCTTTGCCTCAATTCTATATAAGCTCAAAAAGGACAATTGAAGCACTGTCAGGATTGACACTTGGTGTAAAAGGATAAATTGTTTTTTGTTTTGTTTTTTATATAGGAATATAATGAGACTATTCAGCGTTTTATGTCATATGCGAATGTCAATAGATTTATTTGAAAAACTAATGTAATTAGGTCAGTCAATAATTGTATTACAATAAGGTCACAGGATTTAAGAGAATGTTGAATGGGGGGCTGTGTAAGTGGATCGGGGAAATGTGGAAATGTTCCTGGACCTTGAGGTCTTTATGGAGAGTTCGGATATAACCATTCAAAACTCTAAAGGTTGTAATAGCCTGACATAGTTATCTGAGGTGACGTGGAAACTCTTTCTTGTATGATAATGGATGTCTCCTCAGGTGAAAGATGAGTTTTAAATGTGAGGTATGGATTCCTTACCTATATAAGACTTACCTATAATGCAGATGTAAAATGCTGCTATAATGTCCGCCTCTTTGGATAGCCTCGAAGCAAAAGGGTCACCACGCAGGAGATAATGGGGGACGTATGAGGGGTATGGCCATGTTGTGTTCTCCATCACCGCCATCAGTGGGGAATATCCTGTTAGGTGAAAGGAAGACGGTTGAAACAATGGGACAGCTTCCTCAAATTGAAAACAGCTCATAAAGATACAAGGCAGCAGGTAAGTGTTGCAGAAAAGCAAAACTTCCTTTTCTGGCAAACATAGATTGGGTCATGACTCTCTCTCTCTGTCTCTCTCTCAGAAAACATCCATCATACATGATTTAGAGCCGGCATAAAAAAACAAAAAAACAAACATATGTCAGGACAGTCAATATATAGCAAAACTGAAGAGGTTGACATTTTGCAGCCCAACAGCAAATGGTGTATACAACCTTTGTAAGGAGTTCTATACTGACTGTAAGATGTAAAATGGAAGATATGATATATCACTGCAAGTAGGAGTTTTTGATTTTTTTTTCTTTTATAGAAAATATAAATGTTGCATGCCATAGACACAAGAAAAAATACAATATTTTTTGTCTCTGAGATTAACAGGAACTGTATGTAATTTCATAATGCTGTATGTTTCAGCTCCATTAAGCTTGTTATTTGTTAGTGGTAATTTTTTTTTACTTGGGCTGGATGAAGATAATCTTGAAAATGTTGAATCTCCAGGCAGTTAAACTCTTCATGCAGCCTTTCATCGCATAATAGGAGCTTGTTCTAACACTGCCTTCCTTACCAGAGACAAATGCACTGGATACAGTGTATAAATCAGTGTAACTAAAGTTGGTTCTGCTGAAGAACAGTATCCATTAGAGTGCAATACTTCACTTAGCAGAGTTCAAGGCGGGTTAGATTGTTTAGCCTAGGGCAAAAGGTGAAGAGGCCTGTCATGTGGGGGGTGCAGAAATCACAGATGCCAAATGCTGGAAACTATGTGCACATATAAGTGCACACAGATATGCATACTATGTTATCCCACATCTTGTTGTGAGAATTTCTTCCCACACACTGGTCTCCCAGGCTGTTGCATAAGAATTGACCCATACACTCTGTCACCTTCTGGACTTGCCTTCCAATATGTCTTGGCTATTTGTCTCTCTTGGGTTGAACTCGTGGGTTAAATGAGGTGACAAATGCTCCGAGTGTCCACATTACTTCTTTTATGATTAAACTTAAGGAGCTATCTCATCCCTGACAGTGTCTTAAAGAATAAATTATTTAAAAATCAGTAGGCTGCATGTACTGAATACCAGATAGCTTCTGAAAAGGACCAATATTCTCTATTGATCACAAGCAAGTTTTTTTGTTAAAGAACAACAAAATAATATGCAGAACTGCAAAAATTCTGATAAATAAAATTATGTTCCACGTGGAAAGGAGCCAGCTGAGTTGGCTCGGGTATCTGTTCCGGATGCTTACTGGTCGCTTCCCTTAGCAGGTGTTCCAGGCATGTCCTATTGGGAGGAAGGCCCAGGACACGCTGGAGGGACTATGTCTCTGAGCTGCCCTGGTGTCGCCTCAGGGTCCCCCCAGAGCAGCTGGAGGAAGTATGTGTGGATCGGGAAATCTGGGAATCCCAGCCCCGGATAAACAGAACAAAATGCATAAATGAATGAAAATTATGTACCAAATATTTCACTGCAGTTAAAGACTAATATTTCAAATGAAATTTATACCAGTTTCACACATATATAATATTTTTGTTGCCCTATTGTCAATGTAATGTAACTCCAGCTTACTCAGAATGGACAGGGAGAGTCTGTAGATATGAACTAATGTGAGGCCACCTGTCAATTAATCCTGGAGACTTTTCAGCGATTGACCAGCGTTCATGATTTGTACCATACTGAAATGGCACTCCTCTACAGGAACGCTTTTGTTTCTTAATCTGTCTGACAGTGTTGAATGTTTTGCATTAGAATGGCAAAGCAGACATGGCAATTTTGTCAAATCAAACATTTAATTAAAAGCTAAATGATGTCAGTGGGGAACATGGTTACCTCAAAGTATTTAGGGGCGGATCACGGTGGATTTTATTCCCAATATGTACCAAGCCTTCATGTTGCTGAACACTAAGATTAACACCAATGATTCCAACACTAGTGCAAATTCAGAATAGAAGTGCTTTAAAAGCAACAATGAGTCTTCAAATACAAGAGAAAAACAATCCTTCTTAATAATTGTGTTAAACTGTGTTTTAGGCAGTTGATTTGAGACCGATGTCCAGAGCATTGTAGGTTGATCACAAAGATACTTTAAAGGAAAATTCCGGTTTTTAACACTTTTAGCCCATTTTCTGTAGTGTCCAGGATGAAATCGAATGATCGACACCAAAATTTTGACAATTGGTCCTGTCTCTGCTTTTTGGCTCATGCAGAATCCCCCCCTGGCTGCTCCAGAATGGCTTCCATAGAGCATGTCCGATAATGTCCTTAAAACAACCTTAAACGTTCTTTTTTTAAATATGCTACTCACCGGGTCGTCAGCGCTGTTCAATGATGTTCCAAAAAAAGTTTCGTAAAGAAAAAACGTTCCTGTAGTGTTTTATTTAGCATTTTGTAAATCCCATTGAGTTCTGTTGGAATAGTCAATATCCCTCCGCCACCGGAAACGGAAATGGGGCCTGTTTACACTTAGTTGTAGTCTTTTCGCAAGGCCCAAGTGTTTCTGCTTCACTCTGTGTACTCCGACGTCGAGGTGCTAACGTCTCTGTTAAACACTTTAAAAAACTCTGAAAATGGAATACGAAAGGTGGATTCTTAAGGAGGACATATTGGACTTTGAGTTTGACGGTAGAGGATACCGTCGCCAACTAGTGGTCTGGAGTGTGCAACGCTTCAGATTCGAACGGGAAGCGGAAGTTTATAAGCGGTTGTGATGTATCGGAAAAAATAGTTCTGGGATTTACAAAATGCTAAATAAAACAAGACAGGAACGGTTTTTCTTCACAAAACTTTTTTTGGAATGTCATTGAACAGCGCTGACGACCCGGTGAGTAGCATATTTTTTAAAAAGAACGTTTAAGGTTGTTTTAAGGACATTATCGGACATGCACAATGGAAGCCATTCTGAAGCAGCCAGGGGGGGATTCTGCATGAGCCAAAAAGCAGAGACAGGACCAATTGTCAAAATTTTGGTGTCGATCATTCGATTTCATCCTGGACACTACAGAAAATGGGCTAAAAGTGTTAAAAACCGGAATTCTCCTTTAAGCTCAGTAAGATCGTCAGAGTAGGAAGTTGCAAAGTGAACTTTACAAACAGCAATGCTTTAGAATAAATTCTAAAGATGGACATGCCTACTGTGATCAGCTGACAGTAATCAACTGAAGCAACCAGTTATTCATTTGTACAAAGGTGGCTATTATTACATTTTGTTTTTATCTTACTTACATTCTTCGCTTATCTTTAGTGGGAAATAAGAATGTGCTGCTAAGAAATTATGAACACATATTGTGACAATTAGCATCCAAGGCAATGGGCAACAAGTATTTATAGAGACACTGATTATTTTGGAATTAAAAGCATGCTTTACGTTAAAACTTTTCCTGCACTCGTCAAAAATGTGCATGCAGCAGCTTGCATTTCCACGTAGATGTCATATCAATTCAGTAGTCTTGATGCAAGCTCTATAGTAGAACTATTTATGGACTGTGTTTACCGATAATAGTTCAGGAGGTGAACGGAGGAGCACAGCAGTAGATCCAAGAAGAGACAGCAGCAGAGCTAGGAGATGCTATGGCAAGCTGGGTTTAGCTATAGAGGGAAACTGCAGAGGATTGAAGGAGCACAGCGAGAGATCGGATAGGTCTGCACTTCAGATAGCACTGCTGATGGCGGGGGAAAGGCTGCTGGTGACCAGAGGGAGAATAGCGTTACGAAGGAGAAGCCCCATGGAAAATAAAGCAAGAAGAGGCTACAACTGGCTAAGGCTGTCCTCTAGATCAGGGGTGTTCAACGTTTTCCAGGCAAATGACCCCCAAATTGATAGCGAGATGGAGTGGGGACCCCCTAATTATACATATTGTATGAAATTGTGTTATATCAAACTGGTCCTATAGTCACTCTATTATAGATGGAATAATGTAATGAAAGTAATTTCTCCCTGGGATTATTAAAGTATTTCTGATTCTGATTCCTGGTTGATGGGACAGGTGTTGTGAATGAAATGGCGCCCAGCTTGAAAGAGCTCCAGTGTGTCGCTGAATGTGTGCATTGATGACTGACTGATCTTCTGCCTCCATTTATCTGTGTTGAATTCATGTTAATGTGGATTTAAAGACATTTAAAGTAGTGAAAATAATTGCAGGGGGGAATAAAAAAAAAAAAAAAAGTCTTATCAAACCAAAACTTTTGCAACCCCCATGCAGTACCTCTGTGGACCCCCTAGGGGTCACGGACCCTCTGTTGAAGACCTCTGCACTAGAGGTTAACTGCTAGAGATGAAGGAGGACAACGAAGGTCAAACAGAGCTTTGTATATTTCAAATTGTATAGTGTACATTACATTTGTGTAATTTTTGGTTATTCTTTTCCTGAAGGCTGTTGTCCCAATTTGATCAGCATCATTCATGTGTGTCTTCGTTGCTTAATCAAATGTAAAGATAAAGACAGTCTGGATTTATCAGTCCGGAGCTCCTTTTCTACTTTGGATAGTGCTCTATATTGACCCCATGAGAGGTGATAGAATAGTATTGAGTATTTGAGGTGTTTTATGATCATTTAAAAGTAATTAATGCATGAGTTACTTTTAAATAAGTATGACCATTTTTTATGTAATCTTTTTGCTACTGTAAACACCAGAATTTCTCCATTGTGGAACAATAAATGGATTTTCTATTCTATTCTATGTTTACATGTTGGGACTGTGTGAAGACAATGAGGGATCAAATGTGTTCAAACAATTAGGTATAGACAAGTATAGAAATGTAGTCCTCTTCATCTGTCAGTGATTTGGTCTTGCCTATTTTATGAGGTGTACCCGCTGCCCTTTCATTCAAATATTTCCCCAAATTCCTTGGCCTCTGAGTTCATACCTTAATATTTGTCATTAATATGTAAAGGTTCTGCTTTCCTTGTCATAGTCAAGAAA